CTTTATGTTCTTTCTTTCATATTCCCTAAAGAACTATTTGCACTAATAAAATATTAATCATTAAAATAAAATTTCTCAGAATAGATATTATATAACTAATTATGATTGCCTTCTTAATAACCCATCCAAATAAAAGGAAAAAGTACAACTATTCCCCATTACTTATAGCCACTGTTGGAGTATTAAATGGAAACAGAGAAAGAAATGAGAGAACAAAATAAATTTTAAAGGTAACGTTAAAATAGAAGTCAACGTTTTTCTCAACAGCCTATAGCTACAGGAACTGGTGAAATAGGACAGAGGTTAAGATACATATCTTGTGTGTGCTTGTCAGTGGTTTGTCCCCACAAGCATCACTGGGAATAGCCCTGGAGTCCCCCGACAAGGGTGGCCCAGCTGTCCCAGGCACCACAAGGTCCAAATGCATCACTTTCCCATCACTCTAGCATTGAGTGCTTTTGCTCCATTGGCTGTGTACTCACAGGATTGGCACCCAGATCCTTGGAAGAACTCCCACCACTTGGAAGAACTCCCCTCTCCCCACATAACACTCAAAGAAAAAGTCAATCTTGCCTCTCTGTCAATTTTATTCCCCTTACGCCCCAGAATAGATATTTGACACAATAAATACTTTTTTAATAAATAAATATTTGACACAAAAATAAATTATTTGACAGGCCACTCCTGTTTTCAAATTTCAAAGATCCTGCTATCCTATTTTATATATTACATATTATATATGTATTACTTTTTATATGAATTCTTACATATTATATGAATTCTTGGAAAGCAATGGCCATGTATATATTTTACTATAAATCCACTTTTTAATGAGTGCCTTAACGGAGCAGAAACAACATTACTATAAGCAACACTACTATAAGCATCCTCTAGTACTGTATAACACTGGCCAATCAAGACAGAGGGAATCTATCTGGACCAATGGATGCAGAGACGGGGCGGGGCTCAGAGAAATAACTGTCAGCTAGGTTGCAGTTGGCTTTGGCGGTCCAGGGTAAAAAGAATAGTGAGGCTTCTCTTTTTATTTGCATACCACAGATGCTTCTCCAGAGGTGCTAATGGTGAGCCTTCCCCTATTTTCCCTTCAGATTGTCCAACCCCTGCAGGTACTTTTGATCCTCTCCTGAACAGGAACAAATGCTCACTCAGTATTTCAGTGATAGTGTGTCAGATAATCATTCCTCGTTGGCTTTTTCTTGTGGGTTTCCAGTGTCACCCTTACGGACTTGCCCAAAGATTAATCGGCCTCTGAATTTCTGCCCCTCCTCCAATTACTCTCCCTAACTCAAATTTACAGAAATATCCACTGGATTATAATTTTCCCCCTTTTACCTAAGTGAGAATGAGAAAGGAAAGCACAATGATATCTTGAGTCACTTCTTCAAGTACATGGAGCTCCTTAGAGAAGGAGGAGGTGCTAATTCTGCCGTGAAGTATTAGGAGAACAGCCACTTCAAAGTCCGATTTAAAAAAAAAATAATCACAGTTTTGTGTGGTTAAGAAAGTTTATGAACTAGACAACCCAACCTCCATTGTTTATCTCTCATAAACCCCTTAGCCAGAGAGATTTGCAGTTAAGGTCTCTGGGACATCACAGTGCTCTCTTCAGGATACTTTTGTCATTCAATCCCTACAGAATACAGTGAATTCAGAGATAAAGATTTTCCGGTGGAGTAAATTAAGTAGAACTTTTCAAGGATCATTAAGAATTGGGTAATTTCAATTTTTTTCTGAATATACATTACAATTTAAAGCATAAAGTTAGAATTTAACATCTCAGCACATTAAAGTTTTCAAACAAATAATTTTAGAAATGAGGAAAATACTATGGCAACATGTACCCAAACTTTCCATTTGAAAAACAATAGACCATCAATAAAATTTTAAAAAAAGATCAACAACATTGAATTCTGAGCTTCTAGGGGCTGGAGCGATAGCACAGCGGTAGGGCGTTTGCCTTGCACGCAGCCAACATGGCCGACCCGAGTTCGATTCCTCCGCCCCTCTCGGAGAGCCCGGCAAGCTACCGAGAGTATCTCGCCTGCACGGCAGAGCCTGGCAAGCCCCCCGTGATGTATTCGATATGCCAAACACAGTAACAACAAAATCTCCTATGGAGACGTTACTGGGCCCGCTCGAGCAAATCGATGATCAACGGGAGGGCCTTTACTTCACTTTACTTAGCATTGTACAACTATAGAGTCATAAAATTAATTTTATTTTGAGTCAATCCTATTTGCCCCAGAAATTTTAGTCTTTGAGGAACAGTGGACAACTTAGTAGGTAATATGTCAATATTTTCCTAAAATTTTGGTGTTAACTAGGAGGAGTAAATATCAACAATCTTCCAACTCGTCTTTCCTAATGACATGGCTCTTTTGAGAATGCTTCTAAATAGCACCTGCCTTGGAAAATCATTGGAAGCTTTTGAAGGTTCTAACACCCAGACTGCAATTCAGATCAATTCATTTAACCTCAGTGAGTGCTTCCCAAACAACTGCAGTCCAATGTATAAGTGAACTTGATAATTTGTCTTAGGGAATGATGCAGAACTTTCTCTGCTCCAATCCACCTCTACAGGTTAGAGTGATAGTACAGTGGGTAGGGCATTCGTCTTGTAACAGCCTGACCTAGTTCTATCCCTGGCATGCCATCTGGTCCCCTGAGCATCACAAGGAGTAATTCCTGAGTGCAGAGTCAGGAGTAACCCCTATGGCCCAAAATACAAAACAAAACAGATCTGCCTCTAGCCCTTGCAATAGGAAAATGAGGTTTAGGAATTTGAAATTCTTTGTGGAAAAAAAATTAAGAAAATAGAAGAAGCAGTTCCTATCAAAAATAAGAACTATACAAAAACCAGTTCTATTTCCAAATGTAATTGATAAATTAGCACTCTACCACTGCATTGTCCTTCCATTGTTCATCAATTTGCTTGAGCAGGCCCAGTAACGTCTGCATTGTGAGACTTGTTACTGTGTTTGGCATATCTGAATACATCATGGGTAGCTTGCCAGGCTTTGCCGTGTGGGCAGGATACTCTCAGTAGCTTGCCAGGATCTCCAAGAGGGGCGGAAGAATCGAACCCAGGTCAGTCTGGTCAGCTGCTTGCAAGGCAAATGCCCTACCCGCTGTGCTAATAAAATGAGAAGAAAACTCCATTTAAAATAGTGTCCATACATATCAGATACATAGGAATCCAGGTAAAAAAGGTTGTAATATTAACTAAAAACGATGTCATGATAAAGAACAGAAACTTGTTTGAGATTAAAAAGTAAGCAATTTTGCCTTAAATTATGTAAATAGAGCCATTACTAACCTTAGTTTTACACTGAAATAGGCAGGTGACCCCAGGCAGCAAAGCAGATTTCTGTGAATTGGAAACTACCAGAAAAAACACTCAATGGGCAGGAGTGATAGTACAGTGGCTAAGGCATTTGCCTTGCAGACCGTTAACTCGGTTTCATCTCCAGCACCCCATATGGTTCCCTGAGCACCACCAGGAGTGATTCCTGAATGGAGAGTCAGCAGCAAGCTCTGAACACTGCTGGTTTTGCCCTCCCCAAAATAAAACAAACCAGAAAAACACTCAAGCTCCCATTGCCATTATAGTACCCTAGTAATTCCTAGCAGATACATAGAGAAATTATAATCTAGAAAACGTATGCAACTGTACACATGATACAAGCTTTGCAAATGTTGTTTATGAGGATTTCTGGTACTGGTGACACAACAAAGGTAGAAACAACGTAAGATTTAATTACATAATGATGTGTGCAAACTGGAAATAAACATCTAAGAAGCATTTCATGACTGTATTATGTACAATTTATCTTTGATGGGGCTGGAGCGATAGCACAGCGGTAGTGCGTTTGCCTTACAAGTGGCCGACCCGAGTTTGATTCCTCCGCCCCTCTCAGAGAGCCCGGCAAGCTACCGAGAGTATTCGATATGCCAGACACAGTAACAACAAAGTCTCCAATGGAGACGTTACTGGGCCCGCTCGAGCAAATCGACGATCAACGGGAGGGCCTTTACCTTTACCTTTACCTTATCTTTGATGAGTTTTTAACTTCACAGTGAGTATTTATCAGTGTAATGTCTTCATATTCTTATAATCATAAAAGAGGCATGTATGATTTATGTATATGCTAACAATAATATACATGGTGAGTATGGAAGGCAGAACTGGAAAAATTCATTACACCAAATCAAAAACCCCTGATTTAAAAACCTACGGAAGAAAACTGGTGGGATTGGCGGACTGAAGCTATTGACCATCTTTTGGAAGAAAAAAATGGCAATATCTTCATTGTTTCTCTTTCAGGATTTAACAGGGATAGAACAGGCAATAACAATCCTGTTTTAAATCCTTAAGGTTTTAAGAGTTTCCTGATATTTGAGGATACTATGTAACTAATCAAGAAAATAGAATTCATTAGCAACTCAAAATATAACTCATATGAAAGTATATAATTGAATATAAGCATAGTACATTAATTTCTGTTTATACAGAAAAACAATAAAAGATCAAAGTATTTTCACCCAATTTGAACCATCGGGTCAAAACATGCTCTGGAAGCTTATATAAGCAAATCACTTAGTTGTGCATCCCTAATGCTAACTAATCTGTACCACATTGTAGTGCTGAGGACTAATTAAAGGAAAAACTCTTCTTTCACATAGTTTTATAGATACAGAGTGAATAAACAGTGGTTGGCATTGTAAGAGAACATAGGGTAATATTGGCTACTATTGCTCACTTTGTGTTGGTGCTTCTTCTATCTTATTTCAATTTAAAACATTAAAAAACTTAACTTAAACTTTTACACATCCTCTGACAACATTAGAAATAATTATAGGCTTTTCTTTCCAGAAATGCGTAGAAAAGGAAAATCTTAATTGTCTTTCATCCTGCTTGTGTGAGTGTCCCTAGGAAAAAAAAAAGAGTTTAATTCACTTGAACTGTGTGGAACAACAGGATGAATTCCAATACCACCCCTTTTCATGGGTTTCCTGTGTTAGATACAAGCATATGGAGTTCTCTTTTTAATCCTTCACCAGACCTTCCTGATATAATTTTTACGTTGTCTTTTATCTGTACAATTGGAGGTAAGTATTACTTTCTTGAGTTTATTCTATTGACATATATTGTTAATATCACCATTTAGAATCAAGAATAGAAGCAGTGATAAGGCATTAAATTTTGTTCCTAAATTTTTATCTTCATTCCACTATTTTAAAATTAAGCAAATCAAACAATAGCTTGCCATGGAAAAAGACATACTGAGTCTAATCTATGTTCTTCAGTTCTTGTGGATTCATACCTTCTTTCTTGCCAGGTCATAGCTGTATTCAGTAACAGATAAGCACATCATTACTGTATGCTTTATCAATAGTAAGTTTAAAAGTGATTTGTCCCAGTTCTTCACAGGAACAAAATATTTTCAGAGCAATAGAGTTCTGAATGATCATTACTTCATAACCACTTGTTAGGCACCCCGTGGGTTTTGTACAAATGATAACTTATACCAACCTGATAGGAAAAGAAAATGAGTGATTTGTTTGGGTTTTAGTGAAGCAAGTGACATTTTTTGTTGTTTGTTTGGGGGTCACATCCAGCTATGCCCAAAGTTTACCTCTGGCTCTGTTCTCAGGGATTACTCCTGGTGGACTTGGGGTACAATGTGGGGTACTGAGGATCAAACGCAAGTCAGCCGTAAAACAAGAACCCTTGAACTGTGTGAAACAACACACAGAACCCTACTGGCTATACTATCTGTCTGGGCCTTAACAAAGCAGTTTTTACTTAATGAAATTTACTTAAAGAAGTATAGGAGGAAATAAAGAGAAAAAAATATGTTCAAGAGAGACTATAGGCTTCTCCATTGTGGGAAAAGTGGAGAGTGGCTGTTGGGAGAAGGTTGTAAACAGTATCTCCAAACAGTCTTGGCCTGGAGTTCTCTGCATTCAGATAAATTGATCTGGTTATTGCCATAGGACTTGATGGTGCTTGCATATTCTTATCAAGCCCTTTAGATTCTCCTGCAACTGCTCCTTTTCAGAGAGGTTCACACTTCATTGCTTGGTGCCTCAGTTTGCCATCCCCAAGGACCTCTCGATTTGCATCTCAACGGGATGTGTTTTTCATTTGTCATTTTCTTTTTTTACTATTTACCCCACTCTCATTACCTATCCTCCTGCAACATTCCCTGCTCTAAATTCTACCTGCTTAAATCTTTAAGAGGTACATGAGTAAAGAAAAACTTTAGAAATCAAAATAAAGTATTTTTGGTAATATTCCTTGGCTTTCTTGTATTACAATGAAGTAGAAAATTCAAGGAAGCATTTTTATATTCCCTTTTAATTATACCTTGACAAAAATGGTAAATGAAATTAAATATTAATTATAGATCTCCTAATAATTTAAATAACTTAAATAATTTAAAATTTACATTTGCAAATTTAGTTGGGTGAACTATTTGAATAAGTGACCCATATAAATCTTCCTTATTGGCATCTGACTGTGCTGCATGTGTTGTTCTTGTGTGTAACAAAAACGTCACTAAGGCCTTTACCTTGCCAGAAACTTCTTGCTAAATCAGTTTTATCCTTTTTTCAACTCAGTGATGCTACACTTTAATTTTTATTATCTGTTTCTTTCTTCTGACTTTTAGATTAATTCATTTTTGTCTAGTTCATTGACGTATGAAGTTAAATTTTTATTTGAATTTTTTTTATTTATTGATATAGGTCTGTGTTGCCACATACTTCCCTCACAATTCTTTTTTCTGGTTCATTTAGTACAAAATTGACATTTTATTTGAAATTTTTTTTAAGCTCATATTGCTACAAACTTCTCTAGTAAGACTGGTTTTACTGAACCCAGTAAGTTCTCCAAACTCTTGGGCTCATTTTTCAGTGTCTCAAGACATTTTTTAAATTTTACCTCAGATTTTCTTAAGGAATGATTAATGGGCTGGAGGGATAGCACAGCAGGTAGGGCGTTTGCCTTGCATGTGGCCGACATTACTGACCCAGGTTCGATTCCTCCATCCCTCTCAGAGAGCCCAGCCAGCTACCGACAGTATCTTACCTGCACTGCAAAGCCTGGCAAGCTCCCCGTGACGTATTCGATATGCCAAAAACAGTAACAACAAGTCTCACAATTTGTTGTGAGACGTTACTGGTGCCCGCTCGAGCAAATCGATGAACAATGGGAGGACAGTGCTCCAGTGCTCCAGTGCAGTGCTCCTAATGTATAATACCTGGTTAATTTTTCTTATTGATAAAATTATCATACTGGTTCTTATTATTTTCTTGAGAACTGTTAGAATATTTTACTAAAGCTCAGTTATTTTAAAACCTCTATTTTTGTTTTGGGTGCCACCTCCAGCCCTGCTTAGGAGTCATTTTCAGTTCTTTTTTCAGTAATGACCCCTGTGGTATATAGGAAACCATATATCCATATATGGTGTGGAGTGTGGGACAATCAAGGCAAGTGCCTTAAACCTGCACTATCCCACTGTCCATTTTTAATCTATTACTGAAAAACTGCTAAAATACATTGATGCATTGCATAAGCAAAAGTTGCTAAAAATTAGCAGCGATCTAAAAATCAATGGTGGTGACAGTATGTGCCAAAAATTCTAAGGAAATGAGAAATATCATAGAAAAAATAAAACAGGAATCTAGTGGAATTGTTTTGGTTGATTCTGTATTGATTCTCTGAGCTTAAGAGTAAGAAGTAGGATTTTAATTGCATTAATATAAGAAGTGGGTAGAATGGAACATTGTTTTATTGTCATCAATATTATATAAATACTACCATATTTAAAATTCTACGTCTGCTATTTTACTGCCTTTCAGTAAAAACATATTTTTTACAGGATTTTTGAACCTTTACTTGAAAGACTTTCCAATTCCTATCCCAATAATATTGTTTTTAATTGGATGCAGTTTTGAAATATTAACTTTTACGTCTATCAAGGTGTGTATTGTAAATATTATTATTTGCATCTAAGGCTCATAAAATTTATATGTAACTTAAGAAAATTTATTTTAAATTTATAAAATTTAGATGTCAGTGACGTATTCGATATGCCAAACACAGTAACAAGTATGACAATGGAGACATTACTGGGCCCGCTCGAGCAAATCGATGAACAACGGGAGGACAGTGACAATGACAGTGATTTGCACATAAGGTTTATAAAACTTATAACTTAAGAAAACTTATAATGATTTCTCACTGCTCTGTCAGTTGATAGATGCTTGTAACTTTTATATCGGATGTATAGAAAAAGAAACCAGGCATGAAAGAGTTGAGATCCTTTTATCTAAACAGTCAAATCGGAGTCAAGGTCTAAAATTAGAACTAAAATTTAGAGGCAGCCTCCCCACTGTACTACCCCTCTGGCCTTCGTATAGATTCTTGTGATGATTGAAATGTTTTATATTTGCAGCTTGCTCTTCAAGCTCGTGCTCTCCCTACCTCGCTTGCTTGTCTTAAGTTTCTTTACTTGCTTATCTCCACTTTGGAGAAGCCTGTGTTTACTCTTGAAAACATATTTCCCCTCTTTCTCTCCTCTCTTTCTAAGTAAGTTTCATTCAATAAAAAGTTTTATATTTGCCCAACAGGGTAACCACTTGCAGTGAGCACTTGAAATGTATGAGTACGGGACCTGAGTTTTTTAAAGTTTTAAATAAATGCGGGTAGGGCATCTGCCTTGCACGCAGCTGACCCTGGTTCGATTCCTCCGCTCCTTTCAGAGAGCCGGGCAAACTACTGCGAGTATCTCGCCCGCACAACAAAGCCTGGCAAGCTATCCCTGACTTATTAGATATGCCAGACACAGTAATAACAGGTCTCACAATTTGTTGTGAGATGTTACTGGTGCCCGCTCGAGCAAATCAATGAACAGGAGGACAGTGACAGTGACTTGAGCGGGTGCCAGTAAGATCTCCATTTGTCCCAGCTCTGAGATTTTAACAGTCTTTCCTTACTCATCTTTCCCAATACTGTCATATTGGGAAATTCCCTGGCTTTTTCGGGGTCGGGGAATGAGACCCGTTATTGTTACTGTTTTTGGTATATTGAATACTTTAGAATATAGAGCAAAATTAAAGGTTTGCCATGTTAGAAAAGAGTCTGGAAGAAAAACCATCAATGCTTCTACTCATAACATCAAGAAACACAACTATCCAGGACTGAGTATCTCTAACATGCAGAGTTGCCACTAGGAACTCAATTTCCTTAAAGAATACAAAAAGGATGTCCATGATTGGATTAGCAAATATCATCTAAATATTTTATGATAAATACGATTGTTTTAAAAACTGCAGTTATTTTCCTGCCTTCATCTCTTTTATGCTAAAACATTTAGATTTCCCGGGACTGGAGCAATAGCACAGCAGGTAGGGCGTTTGCCTTCCACGCGGCCGACCCGGGTTCGATTCCCAGCATCCCATATGGTCCCCTGAGCACCGCCAGGGGTAATTCCTGAGTGAAGAGCCAGGAGTAACCCCTGTGCGTCGCCAGGGGTGACCCAAAAAGCCAAAAAGGAAAATTAAAAAAATAAAACATTTAGATTTCCTATACGGCATGACTAATACTTATAGTTTCTGTATTTTCATGTTATTGTTTTTTACTTTTTGTGCTTAATAGTTCCTCTACCTAGATTCTTTTTGTCTTGTATTTCTGAATATCTATGTAATCGTCAGTACCTATTCCTATATACTTCAAGTATATATTCTTTAAAAAAGTTATAAAAATTTATATTGGCATTAAATCTTATAAAAATTATAAAAATTCAACAGTTATGTTATAATGTATTAAATTGTATTACATTTTTCTATTTTGCTAAAAGTTGACATGACTAGCACGTATTCAATGTAATTGGGTGATGGATAAATGAAAAATTACTTATTTTCATATTATTAGGTACAAGAATATGCAAACGTCATACAATGGATAGATCCAAAATTATTTTTCAGTCTATTTACTCCAATAATTATCTTCAATGTTGCATTTCACATGGATGTTTACATCCTTCAAAGAATATTTTGGCAGGTAAGAAGTGTTATTTTTCAATATTATTCACTTGTGAGCTACGTGTTATCAAATTAAATTCAGTTTTAGACTTTAATGAGTAAATCATACCCTGATATTTGTCTACTATATTGAAGTCTGAAGAAATATAATGGAGGGAAAAAGTAATTCAGTTGACTGAGCATAGGAAATAGCTCAAAGGAATAGAGTGAATACTTTGCATATAGGAATCCTGGGTCTGATCCCTGCATATATATACAAAAATATACATAAATATCCCTGCATTTATAACATACATATGTAGATAAGTATATACATAAATGTACTTATATATACTTGCCTACATAAATACAGTTCATTTACAAATGGTTGGTGGTGAATAAATTTAAATTAAGAGAAAGTGAGAAACTATTTTTTCATTAGGAAAATATCTGACTTGATTGAGTAATAACAGAGCGATGAATCTGGAGGTTTCTTTTACTTCTTTAGAAAATTGTTTTATTCACCCAAGAATAGCTGAGATAAGTACCAGGAGGTTTACTCCATGGTTTGGAGGCCAGTCACACATGCTAGGGGAAAAGGCAGCTCAGATAGAGAAGGGAGCACCAAATAAAGGGTATTGGGAGGGTTTTCCCAGGATGGGAGAAGCATGCTGAAAGTAGACTATAGACCGAACATGATTGCCACTCAATGCCTCTTTTGCAAACCACAGCACCCAAAAGGAGAGAGAGAACAAAAGGGAATGCCCTGCCACAAAGACAGGGTGGGATAGGGGGTGGGAGGTGGGAGGGATACTGGGATTCATGGTGGTGGAAAATGGGCACTGGTGGAGGGATGGGTATTTGATCATTGTATAATCAAAACCTAAGCACAAAAATTTGTAAGTCTACAACTGTACCTCTTGGTCTGTCACTAATGAAAATTTTTTAAAAATTGTTTTATTTATATATAAAGAAAATAGCTTATATTGAAAGAATATAGAGAATGTGAGGTGAGAGAAAGATTTTTTAAAAGGGGGAAAGAGGTAGTAATTGGTATACTATTTAGTAGTTGCATTGGTTGGTAAGACATTAGGAAATCAGTGTATGATTAATTAAATCACTTAATCACTTAATCACTTAACTTCCCGTTAGTCGTTGATTTGCTCGAGCAGGCGCCAGTAACGTCCCCATTTGTCCCTGTCGCGTGCTAGTGTTGCCCAATGGCATCTGTTCGCTCCGGGAACATGAAGGGCCTCAAACCGATCGTTCATGATCTTGATGAAGAAGTCTGACCATCTGGAAGGTGGGCGGCCACGCGGTCTTTTGACATACCGTGGAATCCAGTCGGTAACAGCTCTAGTCCAGCGGTCGTCTTTAAATCTCATTACGTGACCAGCCCATCTGATTTTCGACACCTTGGCAAATGAGACAGTGTCCCTGATTCTTGATCGTCGACGGATGTCAGAACTCCGGGTTCTTTCTCTCATTTGAGTGAAACGTGATATTCCAAGCATAGCTCTTTCTATTCTTTGGGAGACCTGAATAGCGTTCTCATCTTGTTTGTGTAGGGCCCAGGTCTCTGAGGCATATGTTAATGCAGGATCGACACTACTTCCACTACCCAGCCTTCGCCACACTTCAGGATGCTTTCCGGACCCGCGCGGCCGCAAAGCGGCTGCGCGACACATCATAAGACACTAAATACCCATCTTCCAGAATTGTCGTACCGTATTTGATAGGGCTCAAATATGGTAACACCTACAAGGGTGATTAGAGGTCACCCCAAAAGCCTCTATCCCTCTCGGAAAGACTGGCAAGCTACCGAGAGTATTCCGCCCGCATGGAAGAGCCTGGCAAGCTCTCTGCTGTGTATTCGATATGCCAAAACCAGTAACTTCAACTGGTCTCATTCACCTGACCCTGAAGGCTTCACCGACATGGCAGCACTGAGAAAGATGAGAAAGGAGAGGCCGACAAAATCTCAAGGCCGACCTAGGCTGCCACAACGAAGGAAGACAAAAATGATCATCTGTACTTTCAATGCATGTACGCTAGCATCAGATGCATCCATCGAGGACCTGAAGGTACAAGCGCGAATGATCAAGTACGACATCATTGGTCTGACTGAGACAAGAAGGCACGAATCTCACCATGCCGTTTTCGACACTGGAGAAGAATTGTTCCTCGGAACATGCGATAAAAGAGGTGTTGGAGGCGTTGGTGTCCTTGTCAACACAAACTTGGCCAAGAGCATTGATTCATTTGAATGCCTAACCACCCGAATCGGACGTTTACATTTGAATAGATGTGGCTCACTGCCTGCAGTTTCTATCTTCATTGTCTACGCACCAACATCTCATTATGATGAAAGAGAAATCAAGAAGTTCTACATGGAGCTAGAGAAGTTCAATAAAGAAGACCACACCTTCTACAAGATCATTGTGGGTGATTTTAATGCCAAGATAGGACCGAGAAGATTAGCTGAAGAACTTCACATCGGGACCCATGGCCTAGAAAACGAACAGGGTGAGAGACTGTCTGAGTTCATCATGTCAACCAAGACCATTCATGGTAACTCACAGTTCCAGAAGGCAGAATCTAAACGATGGACATGGGAGTCTCCCGGTGGACGATTCCACAACGAAATAGACCACATCATATTCAATCGACGGTTTTGCGTGACCGATGTCGCTGTTGTCCCAAAATTTCGAACGGGATCAGACCACCGTCTCCTTCATGCAAAATTCTACTTCACAGAGCGGGGAGAAAGGGCTGCAAAGTTCAAAAAGAGAACTCCCAGAACGACCACCAACTGGGAACTCTTTGGTACTATTGCGTCAGCATGGGAAGATGCCATTGTTGACAACATTGACGAGGAATACGATCGACTGGTTCAGCACCTCCATGAATGTGCGAGGAACGCCAAGAGAGAGATAGCCACAAAAAAACGCCAGTCTTCGAAAACTCTTGAGCTAATTCACCAGCGTGGTTTGGCGCATGCCTCAGGCAACCGCAAGCTAACGTCCGAGCTCGCAAAGCACTGCAGAGATGCGATCAAGGAAGACCTCAAAGAGAGAAGAGCAGAAGTACTGGTAGATGCGGCAGAAGCCGGGAAAAGTATTTGTAACGCCCGCCTGTCCTTCCCCAAGTACAAGACCAAGATGACTGCCCTCCGACGTCCTGATGGATCCATCACATCCTCCAGAACGGCAATGGAGAAGATTATCCATGACTTCTACTCAAATCTCTTCGATAGCCAGGTCCACTTGCCGACATACCAAATTCCACAGGATGGATATGTCGTTCCCAACGTTCTCCCTTCCGAAATCCGACACGCCATTTCGTCAGTAAAGAAACAAACAGCACCCGGCCCAGACAAGGTCAGACCTGAACACCGGAAGAACCTGCCGTCAGTACTCATCAATACACTGGCTCGGCTCTTAACTTGCTACCTGTCTGAATGCAAGGTTCCGTCCCAATGGAAAACCAGCAGGACCGTACTACTGTTCAAGAAGGGAGACATCCATGACATCCCTGACAATGATTAATTAAGAAAAACTTTAAAATAATACATTCCTTAATTTTACCAACTGCAGTTCAAATAAAATGATTTACAACATATGACAAGGTTTAGTCACAGATTTTTTATGTATTTTGTTTTTCTTTGCTAAGCACTGTACCACTGTCCTCCCGTTGTTCATCGATTTGCTCGAGCGGGCACCTGTAATGTCTCTGGTGTGAGACTTGTTGTTACTGTTTTTGGCATATCGAATATGCCACGGGGAGCTTGCCAGGCTCTGTCATGCAGGCAGGATATTCTTGGTAGCTTGCCGGGCTTTCGGATAGAGGCAGAGGAATTGAACTCCAGTCGGCCATGTGCAAGGCAAACTCCCTACCCACTGTGCTATCGCTCCAGCAATATTTTTAACACCTTTGTGAAGTCCTTAGAGTTATTCCCTTTATTTTTAAAACTTGAGACATAATTAATATAGCATTAGATTAAGGTGGCAATATAATACTGGTATACATATATTTATTTCCAGTTGATCACTAAAATATGATTAATATAACATCCATAACCACACAAGTTTACAAGCTTATCTTGTCATACGATAACTTTTCTCTCAACATCTTTAAAATATGTTATACATATAAAAATGTTAAATATTTAAAAAATAAATAAAATAAAATATATAATACAATATTATTAACTATAGTTATATCTGTACATTACAGTTCCATTATATGACTTATTTGTTTTGTAACTAATTGCTACAATCTTCTGTTTTTTAACCGAGAGTATCTCGCCTGCACGGCAAAAGCCTGGCAAGCTATCCATGATGTATTCGATATGCCAAACACAGTAACAACAAAGGTTACGGGGCCCGCTTGAGAAAAATTGATGAACAATGCGAGGACAGTGACAGTGACCTTTGTTTTCTGGGGGGACTTAGGAAGTTATACCTGATTATGCTTGAAGAACACTCCCAGCTCTGAGCTCGCGACACCTGCAGTGCTAGGGAAATTCGTGCCTACTCCCACCTCCTATCTCAGGCAACTGCCAATCTGGCCTTCTGATTTCTAGACATGTTTGGTTTTGTTTTTATGTTTTTATGATTGTACATATAAGACTATAGTGCCTTATTATTTGAAATTTTATCTTAGTGCTATCAAGCCCCATTCTGTGTTGCTTTAAGTTCCTTTTTTTTACATAGCTGAGCAATATTCCATTCCATATTAAATAAATGTATATTTACATATATAACATTCTATCTTTCCTTTTCATTTTGGGGACATGCCTAGTGGTCCTCTGCCCCTCTTGGAGAGCCCGGCAAGCTACCCAGAGTATCCTGCCCGCACGACAAAGCCTGGCAAGCTACCCGTGACATATTTGATATGCCAAAAACAGTAAAAACAAATCTCACAATGGAGACGTTACTGGTGCCCGCTCAAGCAAATCGATGAACAATGGGAGGACAGTGCAGTGCTACCTAGTGGTGCTCAGGGTGGTTTATTCCTGACTCTTCTCAGGATCACTTCTGGCAGGATTCAGGGAACCATGTGGAGAGCCAGAGATGAATCTGAGGTCGGTAGCATGCAATGCAAGCACTCTACCCACCGTGCTTTCTCCCCAGACCCTATAATACACTTTCTTTACCCATTCATTCATCATAGACATTTAGATTGCGTATATGTCTTAGCTCTTGTTTAACATACTTCAGTGAGCATGGAGGAAAAGTTTAACATTTTTATTGGTGCCTTCAGACAAAGTTACACTTTTACAATTATAGTCAGCAAAGAAGTATTGCTAAATGGGTCCCTTAGGTAGAATAATAGAAGTCAATGGTGTTAGAGGCATAAAAATAGTTTCAAATCCCAGAATAACAATATTGCTTTTTTCATATTTTCCATAATATTCTGTCATTTTCTCTGCATTGTTTATATGATCAGTTTTCTTCTTTTGTAACAATTTTCCTAAAACCTTCTTTTTTATACATTAACGGAACTTCTAGGTTTTATGGAGAGTAATAGCATACCTCTATATGCTACAGATTCAAATATAAAGTTCTATGTATAGAGATGGAGATCACAATTATAGAGATATAGATGTGTGTACAGTATGCATATGTATCTCCACACAAACTTATTCAATGACATCATCAAAAATATTCCATTTTAAGATTCTTCACAGTGAAAGAAATTATCATTATGGTTAAAAAACATTTTACCAAGTAGGAGAATATATTTCCACACTATCTGATGAAAGGTAAAATCCAAGATATATACAAAAATCACTATGTAAATTAATTCATGGAAAAATAATACGAAAATTTCTCAAAATAATTAATATAGGCTTATCAAAGAATCTAGCAAATGATATATTTCTAGACATCTTTCAAAAGAAGGCAAACACTACTTGGAAAAGGCAAATACACACCCATGCACACTGCTGCACCAATTTTAATAGCTAATACATGGAAGTGACACAAGTGCCCAATGGCAGATGAGTCGATAAGGAAGATGTGCTATGTGTACATAATGTGATGCCACTCACTTAATCACTTAATCACTTAACTTCCCGTTAGTCGTCGATTTGCTCGAGCGGGCGCCAGTAACGTCTCCATTTGTCCCTGTCGCGTGCTAGTGTAGCCCAATGGCATCTCTTTGCTCCGGGAACATGGAGGGCCTCAAACCGATCGTTCATGACCTTGACAAAGAAGTCTGACCATCTGGTAGGTGGGCGGCCACGCGGTCTCTTGACATCCCGTGGAATCCAATCAGTAACAGCTCTAGTCCAACGGTCGTCTTTAAATCTCATTACGTGACCAGCCCATCTGATTTTCGACACCTTGGCAAATGAGACAGCGTCCCTGATCCTTGATCGTCGACGGATGTCAGAACTCCGGATTCGTTCTCTCATTTGAGTGAAACGTGATATTCCAAGCATAGCTCTTTCTGATGCCACTCAGTTATACAAAGAAAGATAAAACTTAGTTTTTGCTGGAATACAACTGGAGCTTGAAAAGGGTAATGAATGCTAAGTAAAAGAAGAAAAAGAAAGACAAAAACCAGATGATCTCACTTCTGGTAAAAAAAAAAAAACAGCAAAGCAAAGTAATAAACACCAGTGTAAACAAACCCTTAGACTAATCACAAAACTGAGACTATCAAAGGGTGGAGTAATGAGCCGAAAGGATATATGGGGTTCACTGTATTGCGGTGCAGGGATACCATGTAGTACCCCTAAATATTTAATACTTCGCATACCAATCTTAACACATTTTTTTTAAAAAATCAATAAAATTTTCTTTTAAATAACAATAATTTTCTACAACTTCTACCCTAGGTTCAAGATTCTCATTTCAATATTTGTCCTTTATTGCAGAGTTGGGAATCACTAGTCATATAAAATCTTATTTCCTTTTCATGGACATGGTCACGGTCCTCCTGTTGTTCATCAATTTGCTCGAGCGGGCCCAGTAACGTCTCCATTGGAGACTTTGTTGTTACTGTCGTTACTCTCGGAGAGCCTGGCAAGTTACCGAGAATATCTGGCCCGCACGGCAGAGCCTGGGAAGCTACCTGGGATGTATTCGATATGCCAAACACAGTAACATATTTCCTTTTAATGGTGATTTTTTTTCTTTGTTTTGTTTTGGGTTTTTCATGGTGGTGTTCAGAGTTTATTTCTCTCTCTATCGTCGGACACCACTCTAGAGGAGCTCTGTTGACTTTATTTGGTGCCAGTGATCAAACGCAGGGTCAGCTGAATGCAAGACAAGTTCCCTCCCCCCACACACACACACCCACTGTCCTATTTCTCTGGCCCCATGGACTGAATGTGATTCTACGTCTCCAATAGTCCTAATTATCTGCTTTAAAAAAAATGGAATACTGTGGCAATTTAATTTTCTATTTGTTGTATTTCTTTGCAGATATTTTTAATTACTGTTCCTGGCTTCATTGTAAATTATGTCTTAGTCCTTTGGTATCTGTCATCGGTGGATAAATTACTTTTGCGTACACCCTCATGGGTATTATTTACAACTATTCTTATAAGTTCAGATCCCATGCTGACTGCAGCTTCTATAAGAGAACTTGGTAGGTTTATATTTATTTTTTTAATAATTGCTAAAATATCATAAGCCATACATATTCGACTTCTCTAATTTTAAGGTTTTTGTTTTTGGGGGGGGGGAGTCACACCTATGGTGTTCGGGGCCTATCCTGGCTCTGTTTCAAGTATCACTCCTGGCAATACTCATGGACCTATGTGGTGCCAGGAATTGAACCAGAGTCAATCACTGCAAGGCAGGTGTCTAACCTACTGTCCTCTCTCTCCAGACCCAATTGTTTTTCTTAAATCACAGGGAAATTATAAAGCTATTCATGATTTGGTTTCAGGCAGACAATGTTTCAACATCCATCCCTTCAACAGTGTCCACTTTCCTCCACCAATGCTCTACCCCCACCCCCATTTACTTCCCACCAGTCTACTTCCAGAAGAAGTGCTTTTACATATAAAAGCACTCTGGTTTGCAGTACTTTGCTGATAGGGTTTCATCCATAGCACTTGAGCACTTATCAACACCACCACCTCCTCTGGTTGAATGTTTTCCTCCATCATAATTGTTTCCCCCTCCCTGTCCTTTCTCCCAGGCCCCTCAAGTGACATGTTTTCTACTAAATGTTAGTTCTCGTATTTTTTGTTTCCATTGTTTTTGGATATTTGTTATTGCACCATTTTGTTTCTTATGTCCTGCATGTGAAAGAGATAATTCTGTGACCGAATTCACTGAGCATAATATATTCCAGGTCCTTCCATGTAGCAGCGAATTGGATGATTTAATCTTCTTTTTCTTTTTTTTTTTTAAACTTATCCATTTATTTATTGAATCACCATGGGAAAGGTTACAAAGCTTTCAGGTTTAGGTCTCAGTCATGCAAATATCAAGCACATTTCCCTTTACCAAAACTTATTTTTTACCATGAAGAACCCCAATAAAACCCCACCCCCCACCCCTCCCAGTCCCTGTGGGGCAGATGAATTCTAGTTAACACTCTATCTGCTTTGATTAGATTCATTGTTTCAATAAAAGATTCACCACTATTATTTAGAGTTTACCCCCCCACCCCCAAATCAGACATGCTGACAAAGCATTGTGAAGTGATTTGCTTTCTACAGCTGGGTTCAAGAATTAAATGTTGGTTTTGGATTTCTGCTATTTTACTTATTGACCCTGGAAGTATTTCTACTGAAAGTCAGATAGTTAAGAAATTGGTTTCTGTGCTCTGGAGCCGTGGCCGTGCTGGAGAGCCACTAGTGGGGGGCAACTGGTGGCCTCGGTAGGGCGTGAAGGGCGGACCTAAACGCCCCCCTTCCCATGAGGCTTTAGTCGCCCCCAGTTCCCTGGCTCATACCTGCTGTCCACAAGGCTCCCATGCAGCCGCCATCTTTCTTTCCAGAGAGGAGAAGGCGACTGGGGCAACACCCTTTCCCCTCCGGACAGACCTGATGGCCTGGATTAACGCATAGTCCGTTCACTTTTCTGCTCCAAGCTGCCGGGTTCTGCATTAAGTCCTTGTGCTTCTGGGGCCGTGGCTGTGCTGGAGAGCCGCTCACAGGGGGCAACTGGTGGCCTCGGTAGGGCGTGAAGGACGGACTGGAACGCCCCCTTTCCCATGAGGTTTTAGTCGCCCCCACACCCCCGGCCCATACCTGCTGTCCACAAGGCTCCCATGTGGCCGCCATCTTTCTTTCCAGAGGGAGGAGGGCAGAAGGGACCAACACCCTTTCCCCTCCGGGCAGACATGATGGCCTGGATTAACGCATAGTCCTTTCACTTTTCTGCTCCAAGCTGCTGGGTTCTGCATTAAGTCCTTGTGCTTCTGGGGCTGTGGCCGTGCTGGAGAGCCGCTCATGGGGGGCAACTGGTGACCACGGTAGGGTGTGAAGGGCGGACCGAAACGCCCCCCTTCCCATGAGGTTTTAGTCGCCCCCCACTCCCCCGGCTCATACCTGCTGTCCACAAGGCTCCCATGTGGCCGCCATCTTTCTTTCCAGAAGGAGGAGGGTGGAAGGGACCAACACTCTTTCCCCTCCGGGCAGACATGATGGCCTGGATTAACGCATAGTCCTTTCACTTTTCTGCTCCAAGCTGCTGGGTTCTGCATTAAGTCCTTGTGCTTCTGGGGCCGTGGCCGTGCTGGAGAGCCGCTCGCAGGGGGCAACTGGTGACCTTGTTAGGGCGTGAAGGACGGACCGGAAACGCCCCCTTTCCCATGAGGTTTTAGTCGCCCCCACACCCCCGGCTCACACCTGCTGTCCACAAGGCTCCCATGTGGCCGCCATCTTTCTTTCCAGTGAGGAGAGGGCGAATGGGGCAACACCCTTTCCCCTCCGGACAGTCATGATGGCCTGGATTAACACATAGCCCATTCACTTTTCTGCTCCAAGCTGCTGGGTTATGCATTAAGTCCTTGTGTTTCTGGGGCTGTGGCCGTGCTCCAAACTTAACTATGATTTTCAGAGAGAAACGTTGGGTGGTTTACTTCCCATGGATCACTTTGTATATAGAGAGATGTCGCGCGGCCGCCTGAGCGGCCGCGCAGTTTTAAGGAAAAGTCCTAGTTCCCGCATACTCAAGCTGTGGTTGTATGTGGTTGTAGAGGCTTCTGGTCACCGGGGTTCCATCTGGGGGAGGCGGGATGCGGTACCTACCCCATCTGGGGCTTCCCGATGATCTCGGCTCTTTTTGGAACCTGTTTTTTTTTCCCCCCTTCGGGATCTGTGGATCCCGCCCTCCATGTTGTCCTTCTCTTCGGCTGAATGCTCGGATGATTTAATCTTCTTAATGGATAAATAGTATTCCATTGTGTATGTGTACCATAGTTTCTTTATCCAGTCATCTCTTCTTGAGACACTCAGGCTGTTTCCAGATTTTGTTAATTGTGGAAGGTGCTGCAGGGTCCCAACGAGGGACTGGATGGAACCAGGGCAAGCAATAAGCTATGTGCTATCCTGGCATCGAGATGGGTCTGGCCAAAGTGCCATAATGCTTAACTCTAAGTTAAGAGCTTGGTCATGGACAAATGCTGTCATGATCCAAAAAGTAATAACTAGATTTGGACCCTGCTAGGGTTAGGAATGATTAATCTGGCCTGAGCACTGTAGTCTGAGTCTGTGGCAAGAGGTTCCCAGGAGAACTGCCCTACAAGCCTCAATGTTATTTATTGCTGTGTCCATACAAAATAACTAGTATTGAGATGTTGATAGACTTATTGGACTGAGGAAAGGAGGAAAACACCTTAGGAGGTATTTTGCCTGGGGCAGTCAGGATGGGCTTTGGAATATCTTTTTTGGTGGTGTTCCCTTTGAATTTGGTGGGCCTAAGGAAGGGCTTTCTTATGTTGATTTTGCTACCTGACTGGGTACAGTGTCAGCCCAGAGTGCTGGGGAGTTGGAGAGACAAGAGAGCAGGGAGAGTTGGGGAGAGAGTAGTGAGTTCAGGAAGGCAAGGTGGACCACGGAGAGACTAGCAAGGGGGACAGAGAGAGAAGAATGTAGAAGAAGAATACAGGAGCAAGCACGTGGAGAGAGAGAGCCCAAGCTGCGAGATGGAGTGCAGAGAAAAACTGTAGAGACAAAGGGAGATGGGAATGAGGAGCAGTGTGAGACTAGAATGGGAGGCTCAGAGAGACAGGGGCAGGCGCGTGGGGAGAATGGAATAAAGGACATCTGATCAATCGAAAAAATTGTGGAAGGTGCTGCAAAGAATATAAGGGTGCAAATGTCTTTTCTGAATTGTTTTAAGGTCCATGGGGTATATTCCAAGAAATAGAGTTGTATGATCAAACGGAAGCTCAATCCCTAGATTTTTGGGGGTACTTCCCAAAATATAAAATTTATATTTTATAGTTTTCCAGAAAGACTGGACCAGTTAACATTCTCATCAGCAGCCAATGAGAGTCCCTTTCTCTACACATTTTCTTTAAAGTGCACAAGTTTCTTTATTTAATGTAGTCTCGTTTGTTTATCTTTGCTTCCACTTTCTTGGACAGTGGTGTTTCATCCTTGAAAATTCCTTTATCTTCAATGTCATGAAGAATTTTACTTATGTTTTCCACTATGTACCGTATGAGTTCAGGCCTGCTATAATGATATTTAATTCATTTCTATTTAAATCTTGTACATGGCGTTAGAAGAGGTCTGAGTTTAAATTTTTTATTTTTTTGCGTGTAGCTGACCAATTTTCCCAACACGAATTACTGAAGACATTTTCTTTTTCTCTACTTCATATTTTTGCTCCTTTATTGAAGAAAAATGGATCATACACCTATCTCAGGATATTCAACTCTATTCCATTGATCTGAGTGTCTGTCTTTATTCCAGTACCACACCGTTTTTATTATTACTGTGTTATAGTACAGTTTGAAGTTGGGGAAAGTGACGTTCCATTTTTTTCCAAGAATTTATTTACCTAGGGACTAGAGCTATAGTACAGCAGGTAGGGCATTTGCCTTGTACACGGCTGACCAGGGTTTGATTCCCAGCATCCCATATGGTCCCCTGAGCAACGCCAGGAGTAATTCCTGAGTGCAAAGCCAGGAGTAAGCCCTGTGCATCATCGTGTGTGACCCCCCAAAAAAAAAAGAATTTATTTACCTATTTGGGGATGTCTTATTGTTCCATATGAATTTCAGGAATTTTTTATCTATTTCTCTGAAAAATGACATGGGTGTTCTTATAAAGACCTTAGTGAAACTGTACCATGCTTTGTGGAACATTGCTATTTTAATGATACTAATCCTCCAATCTATGAGTTTGGGAAGTGTCCCCATTTTTTATTTCTTGAAGTAGTGTTTTGTACTTTTCTTTTAATAGGTCTTTCATGTTTTTAGTTAAGTTGATTCTGAGGTACTTTTTTTTTCTGAGGCACAATTCTGAACAGGAATGTTTTAAAATATATTCTGTTCTCTTTCACTTTTTGCATGTAAGAAAGCCATGAACTTTTACATATTAATTTGTAAATTTCTAGGAGCCTTTAGGTAGAGTCTTTGGGATTTTCTAAATATAGTATTATGCTGTGTGTAAATAGTGA